AATACAAGCTTTTTTTAATTTTTCAAGCAAATACATTCGAAATTTTCGCGGAAAAAATAAATTTTGCTTCGGATTGGCTTCTTGAAGTTGTGATGAGCCACTCTAAAACTTTGAGGGGCATCCATTTGACCAATCAAGACTCAAGAATTCAATTGTCGGCATTTTAGAAAGAATCTGTTGGTATAAGGCACCGCTTTAGATGCATTTAAACTTAATGTTTATCAACTTTTTTTAAATAACCGACTACCGACAAATGCCTAGAATTTTAACTGACTACCGACATTGAGACCCCCCATTAAGACCCTGATATATTTCTCCCAGGAACCCGTCGACTCCTCCTATTTACTGAAGAAAATTATTCAGTTTTACCTTTAATTCGATGTTGCGTTTGAAGAGAGGATGCCACTACTTGTGCCAAAGAAGGAACAACTCTATAATTCCAATCACGACTTAAATAGCCGAGGTGGATTATGATCTTATTATCGGATAATGACCGGATTACCATGGATTAAACGAGGATTAGGTTTGTAGCAGGTAGAAAATGAAGGGTGACTAAGAATAAAATGACCAGGAAACTCGGTTTCTTCCTGGAAACACTGATGCTSTTAATTAGTTGCTGCATGGGCAGATGGGCTCTTCACTAGTTAGATATATAGATACTTTATTGAAAGTACATGGTAGCCATATAAATAGGCTAGTAATGTATAGAAATAATCAACAATATTTACAATAATAATTTCAATATAATGACTACTATATAATTACAATACATGCATCAACAATGCGTCCGCCATCTTAAAAAGTGAGACTCAAATCACTAAATTATAACTCCTAAAGAAATTAAAAGGTTCTAAGTTAATGTAAAGTTAATATGATATACGTTATGATGATAGATTAGTTGACTAAGCAACTATGAAATTTGTTCTAATATAAAAAGATTGGTTCTTATGTGAAGGCTATTACTAAAAGCTAACTTATCAATTAAACTCCCAAAACGAAGAGGTAAACTAGTTGCTGGCTATTTTCTTCAGCTCGAGAAACTGACAGCTCGAGAAACTGACCTGATCAACACACTGGTACCAAACTGTAAAGTGACGAAAATTGTAAGAATTTTTCAAATTTTCGGCCATAAGAGGACGGCATGGTTACAGGATTATCGTTTCATGATATATAAACATGCACAAGGAATTTCCATGAACATATCAACATTGTGAATATTACAAAGCACGAAAGCCCATAAAGGTACGGTAATTTTCCATAGCAGTACTTTTTACCAAATGAGGGCAAGGTAGAGGATTATATTACAAGGAAAAACTCTTTTTGGACGTACTGGTACCAAATGGGGGGCGTGTCACAGTTCAAAATGACCAGGAAAAATTCTCTTGATGTTGATAAATGAACAACAGAAAGTATTATAGTCAAAGACCATGTGGAAAGGTCTTCCTGGACTCAATGGTATACAATTGATAGCGCGACCACTGGGAAAAATCGGGCGCTTTAAAGGTTGTAAATTTGATGTACATATGATGTAATTGTCCAAAATTCTGTAAATTTGATGTAAATGATTTCCATTAAATTTACAGAATTTTGGACACTTACATCATATTTACATCAAATTGACAACCTTT